CCTGTTGCATATCGGGGAAGTTTTCAGCTAACAGCACGACGTCGTCGGCGAATTCGAGGTCGGTTATGTGAATATCGGGCGAAAGTTGGACGCCGTGGTGCTCGGTTAGGGCGTGCCGCAAAATCCAATCAACTGTGAAATTGAACAGGATGGGGGATGCTGGACAACCTTGCCGGACACCGCTGGTTACCTCAAAAGTGCGGGACTCTTCACCGTTCACTCGGACTCGAGCTTTGGTGTTGGAGTAGTATGACCTGAGCAGGTTGATTAGCTTGGTCGGAACTCCGTCGAGCTCCATTAGATACCAGAGTGCTCCTCGATCAACTGAGTCGAATGCCGCTTGGAAGTCGATGAAGCAAGCAACCGTCGGCTGTTGGAATTTGTCCCTGTGTTCCAAAATTCTTCGCAGTGTGAATAATTGATCAACACAGCCTCTTCCAGGTCGAAATCCGGCTTGATTTGGCCTTGTTCGCACGTGGCGTTCGGCCGCGAAGCGGTTCAGGAGAATGGAAACAAAAACCTTAGCAGCGATATCAATCAGACTTATGCCTCGGTAGTTCTCGCATATTGACCTGTCTCCCTTTTTGTGGAACGGTAGCAGAACTGAGGTGCTCCAATCGGAAGGAATGGTTTCGGACTCCCAAATTGAGCAGAACAGCGAGTGCAGTGCATCGATTAGCGCTGGAGTGCAGGCCTTGTATATTTCTGGGGGTAGACCATCTTCGCCCGGAGCTTTTTTGTTTCTGAGTGTGTTAATTGTTTTAGCTATTTCGGTTGGAGTGGGTGGATCGCAGTCAACTACGTAGGGTGTTGGTAAGTGTCGTATCGGTCGATGAGACGGTTGACCAGCGTCGCGATTGAGTAGCTGCTTGAAGTGTTCGGCCCATCGTTCCATCTTACCATTGGTGTCCGAAATAATTTCTCCTGATGCTGTGCGTAACACAGCATGACTGTTAAGGCGTTTGCCAGATGATTGGCGTAAGAGGCGATAAAGTTTTCCGAAATCGCCTACATTTGATGCTGCTTCCATGTTAGTCGCCACGTTAGACCAATAGCGATTTCTGTCGTTCCTAGCAGACTGTGTAGCTTTGCGCCTGAGGGAGCGATAAACTGGAGACTTTGCTAGGCGAGCGTCTCTGGCTTGCGAGGATAGAAGCATGGTGTGCTCTGAAATCCAGTCTTTCTGCTTCTTGGATGTGGTACCCAAATGCGACATTGAAGCTTTAGAGACTACTTCTTTGAAATGATTCCATCGTGTCTCGGGTGTATTAGAAGATGTGGATGTTGGTTCATCTGCGGTGCTTAGTTCGGCCTGGATTTGTTTGGACAAGGCTTGTCGTCTTGTAGAACATTGAAGCGGGGCAACATTGATACGCTTCGGAGGTCGCGCCTTCTGGCGTGTCGTTAAACGAAGTTTGAATTTCGCCCTAACTAGAGTATGGTCTGATCCCCCTTTATTTCCGGCCTCTGCTCCACGATAGGATCGACAGTCTTCCACCGAGGAGATCCAGCGTGAGCGCACTAGGATGTAGTCGATCTGATGTGCAGTGCGACCGTCGTTCGAATACCAGGTGAGAAGATGTTTTCTGGGGTGTTGAAATCGAGTGTTGGTGATATATAATCGATTGTAATCAGAAAAAGATAAAAGTCTATCACCATTACGGCAGCGCTGATCGAGACCGTGTTTGCCTAGTATATGTTTTGTCGCGTCGTCTGAAGGGCCAGTGCGGGCGTTCCAATCGCCGGCTACTATGAGAACGTCACGCTTTGGGATTTTGTTGATTGCCTCTTGAAGATTGTCATAAAATTCGTCTTTGATACTTTCATCAGAGTCGAGGGTTGGGGCATAGACAGCGAGAACAGAAATGTCGAGCGGGGAACCCTTGAACCTAGCGACTGCAACTCTGGAGTTGACCGGTTCGAATGATATTAGGGCATTATTGGCTTTGTTACTGAGAGCAAATGCTACCCCATGTTGTCCCGAATTATTCTGGGGGCCACTATGAAGCAACCAGAATGAAGAATCTGTTCCAGGAACGGCTATTCGGCGGGAGCCATGATCGGGTAACCTCACTTCAGATAGACACGCTATGTCTACCTTGTAGTCATATAAAGAACGCATGGTGATAGACTGGCTACCAGGATCCAACAGCGTCCTAACATTCCAGCAGCCAACAAATAGTTGGTTTCTAAGTGTTAATTTCCCAGCTAGCTTACTTTTCACACTGGCCACCGGGTGAGCACAGGGCGCGTCGCTTACCGGGAACGCCGTAGCATGGTGAGAGTTGTTTGTAGGAGAGTTCATGAAGTTTCTTGGGAATTTGGTACGAGTGATGTCCCCAGCATCGCTCGGCCTTTTGTTTGAGAGTGCAGCTCTAGCCTTTACACAGCCAAGTGTGACCTACAAGGCAGTAGGAGTGGAGTAAGGAGTCCACTATCCATTGGCAGCCGGTGACCGGAGTTCGGTTCATACGCCTTTTTGAATGGGGCCAGACATCCAGGACATCCAACAAGCCCTTTGTCCATACGTCTGCCGGTGAGCTCCAGTGAGCTTCATACGCCAGTCGTTGGAGGTTTGGAATCAGGGTTTAGCCATCTCCCCTAGACTGTCATCCAATGGACAGTCAACCCGGTGGAGAGCGCCGGGCATCCGCTTTTGCCCTCTCACTTTAGTGAGAAACACCTCCGCCACGTGAAGGCAGTGAGTAGGACTTCCTCAGGAGAGGCTATGTAAGACGCACGGTCATATGGGAGCATTTCAAGAGGTGTGCGGAGGGGTGGCCAACCCGCAGCGCAAGACACCCACCCCCGACCATCCTGAGGCTTTGGATGGCTAGTAAACTTACCGCCGGTTACGGATCACTTTAGGGTAAGTCGGGATGTACAATTTTCGGGGTCGACCTTTTCTAACCTCCCCCCTCTCCGGAGTGGAGAGACAGTGTAACTGGTTGCCATGCTAGTCATCTGAGAGAAACACCTCACTGCTGTTACACCCTTGTTCCCCAACAGTATGACTTCGCCGTCAGACCCCTAGCATAGTGTAAGAAAGATTGTTAAACGGTGCCGGTAACTGCTTCTAGTCTAATCGCTATCCTAACAACCTTCCTGGCGTGGTAGGACCTGCGGAAACATTGGTTCCAGCCGGTGTAGTTGGTTGGGTCATCGTGATGTGCAAGCCCGACCACCACGTCAAGGTAGCAGCTATCGGTCGGGATTATGTTCAGTATCTACAAGGTGAGTTATAACAGAGCTACGAATAGGCCTTATTTGTTCCTTGTATAACGACATTGAAGATTGTCGCTTCTCTTGCCGTTTACCATTTTTACAAGTTTCCTTATCTTCTGTATACTTGCAGTGCTATTGGTTGGAAGGAAGGGAGTTAACACCTGTTTATCGTGTTCTTTACGCCTAATATGATTAATTTGGAAATATTCCTGTCGTCATAGATTTTGTTATATTTCCTGCTGTTATTATTTTTTTTATATAAAAAGCTGATCTGAATGTCGACCACAGCACACCAACTTTTTGAGGTCACCCAGTGTTGGATTGGATATGAGAGATCTTTGAAATCTCACTTTAAGAGTACATCTTTACACTTTTCTGAAGGTTTCAATATATTAAATATATCCATAGTAAAATTTAAAACAACCCATTTAAGTGAACAATATTGTGGTTTCAATTAGATCTCATCAGGCTTAACTCATATATATATATATATATATATATATATATACATAATTTTACAGATAAAATACAAATATAAACCAATCATGGTGTTTTGTCTATAGGATAATAAGATGGTGAATATAAGTTGTGCAATTAGTCATAATTGTATTAATGATAATAGTAATAATAATAATGATCTTATCAATAATAAGGATGAAAAAGTGAGGCAGTCTGTGTTAACACGAATAATGGAAAACATGATCAAACAAACAAATGTTCAACTAGACATAGTAGTCGATAAAGGCTAGTAAAAACAAATGAACCGATTAAGTAATGTTAGATTGTCAGGGAAGTAAATGAGACACATTTTTAATGAAGATGTGATAAGATTAAGGGTGATGATAAGAGAGGGGTTGAAAATATAAACAAGGGGTGATGTAGAAGTCATTAGTTGGTTATGTCTTAATAGGCCGACAAGCGAGGGATAATGGCTGTGCGAACTTCTTTTGAATGCATAGTTTAGGTTTAATAGTTCGAATGCCTATCGCCTCAGCTATGTTCAGTAGACGAATACGAAGTCTATTGGAAAGATTCGGTGGGATAAGATGAATTACTTCGAAGGCTCTCGTTTTTTCCACTACATGACCACTATCAATGAAATGTGACAAACTTGAGCTACGGATTGTTTTTGTCTGCCCTTTGCCAAACCATGATGGGAGATGTTCACTAACACGTTGGCTGGCTAAGCTGTCTAGTGGTACGCCCAACATAACTGACACCGCAAGTGCAGTTGAATTGATAAATGCACATAGATGTGGCAAAAATATCAAGCTTATCCTTCGTTTGCATCCTAATCATTCGTCGGCTAGAGAATGACAAACATAGATGTGCTGCGTAAAATGTTCTTCGTATACTCCTGGAAAGTCTCTGGAACAAAGTCTCACTAGATAAATCACCATTAAATTGTAACAATAAATAGAGGCAGTCAGAGTCTCAGGTTTTTTCTATGATGTTTTCATATTTTTATTTGTAAACTTATGTATATTAGAGTTAAGCCTGATGAGATCTAATTAAAACCACAATATTGTTCGCCTAAATGTGTTGTCCGAAATTTTCTGAAGGTGTTTAAATAGTAGTTATTGACGATATGCATGCTAAAGTGTTGTTGGTTAATTCATCATTGTTGTTTTTCTCTATGATAACAGGCATTACTCACACAAGCTGATCAGATTATCATCAAGCTTCCAACACAAGTCATCACCTTTTCACCACGCCACGGGAATTTACTTTTTTCTCTCTACCAAGCTGATTTATAACAGCCCTTTTTTTGTCCAATGGATTCTCCAATCTGTACAGAGAACAATCATGCTCCATTCAAAGATCAAATTGATGATGAAACTGTTATGTTCGACTTGGACATGAGTGTTGATGATGGCATGCCGGACACACCGCTGAAAAATGATGATAATGATTCAGATACACAGAAATCTCGAGTACTGTGTTGTTTTGCACATTTTTTTAATTTTAATGAAATTCTTGTTTTTTTTAGACTAATCAATCAGGCAATTCTTTGTCTGCTTTACCTTCACGGCGTGAGAGTAGATTGAAATCAGAGACTGCTTCACGTTCTGCTTCATTCTCAGGACTTGCTGATAATGTTCATCTGGAGGATATTTATGAATATGATTGGGCAGATAGTGATTCTGAATCTCCAGGTGGAAAACATGAAAAGGAGTCGTATATAGTACAAGAAATTCTTGCTGATTATTTAAAGGTTGGTTATCTTTTTTTCATCTTGCATATTTCTTATAGTATTCCATTTTCATGTTTGGAAACTCATTAGCTTGAGCGTCGGGCTGTGGTGGGCAATAGACTCCTGGTTCAAAGCCATCTCCATCTGTTTCAATCTTGGCAGTTAGGTAGTTTTATCCCCCCCCCCACACTCACACTATAAGTCTGTCTCTGTCTGTTTTCGACATAGAACCTTGCACTGATGTGCACCAGTTCAAGTCGCCACACTCCGTGTAGCACGCGAAGCAAAAGAAGAAAGTAGAAGAAATGCACAATAGAGACAGTAAACAGAGGTGTGAGACAAAGGAATATTAATAACGAGGAACAATATAGTTTCATAGGAAATCATAAGTCATAAGGAGTGGATATATCTGCAGCAGCCATTTAGATTGATTTTGAGCCATGTCACCAATTGTCGCCAGACTCCATTGGTTTTTACCGTCCCGAGGACCCCAAACAGTCAGGAAGTCTACACCTTCCTACGTGACTGGCTGGCTTAAACGAACTGTTGTGGATTTGATTGACCGGTGCTGTGTTTTGGTTTGACCGCCGCTAGCTCTTTTCCAGCCTGACTGACCCTATGTCAGCTAACATTGCCCCTTGTCGAGGAAGGCAATGACTAGGCATGCATGTGTAACACATGTCCTAACCATCTTAGTCGATTTAGCTTCACAGCCTCGTCGATTGGTTTCCCCTCCTTACCTAGCACTCGACCTATGCCTAAACTCAATATTGATCACCTTATTATACCACTTTACACGGGAGATAGAGTCCAGGCACCTATGGTCGAAGACAGCTAATCTTTTCTTGTCTTCCCCCTTCAATGGTCATGTCTCACAGCCATATAGGAGGACAGAGTGGAGTAATGAGCAGTACACCCGCCCTTTGGTCGACAGCCAGCCGGATATCATGTCTACGCCAGAGACGGCATAAACTGGTATATGCGAAACTAGCCCTCTGTATCCGTGCTGAGATTTCGTCAGAGATCAACCCGTTGGCACTGACTGATGGTACTTCCCAAATAAGTGAAGCGGTCAACGTGGTCTACCACTTCACTCCCTATTTCTAAACTAGGAGTCAGTGTAGTCCAGTCTTGTGACATCATCTTACATTTGGCGGGAGCGAATCGCATTCCAAACATTGGTAGATTGCAGCTCAAGGTGTTCAGAAGACGCTGTCTGCATTTTCTCAACGTCCTCGCCTAGAAGGACTATATCGTCTGCGTATTCTAAGTCAACGAGATTATTCCCTGATGGTAGCAGGTGAATCCCTGAGTCTCTGAAGTGAGTTAGGGTTGAGTCTCTTAGTACAATATCTATTATGAAATTGAACAGAAATGGGGATAATGGGCATCCCTGGCGGACACCACTAGTCATCACCAGTTGAGATGACAACTCGCCGTAAGCCCTCATTTGGCTGGCCGCATGAATTCGAGTAGAGTGAGTGGCTTGATCAGTGTAATGTATTTTCTCGGCATTTCCTTTGCAGCCAAGCATTGCCAGAGAACCTCTCGGTCGACAGAATGGAATTCCGCCTTTAGGTCAAGAAATATAAAGGTGTCACACAGTAAGTGCGTGACTCAACTTAACAGACTACAAAGTCTCACTTGTCGTGTGAGGGTTGATAACGATTACTATCCAGTTGTTGAGACTGAATTATCTGAGGTGAAGTTGGAATGTAGAACCTACTGTCTGGAAACCAAGAGCCTTAGCTAATGCATTATACAACCACGGGAAATTTTACATAAGGCTGCATATTTTCTCTCTTCTTTATCTCTGCCAGATTAAATCTTTTAAACGTAAATACCCTGATCTAACAAGACGTGCAATGGATGCTTATGAACGTTCATGGTTACAACAAGAAGGCATTGTTCCTGTTGGTCGTGCAGATCTTGGCTTAACAGCACTTAAAACAGATGATGTTATGAAGTTATTACAACAAGATTATCCAGAAGTACATGTTGCACTGACTGATCTATTTCGTCGACGAAAGTTTAAGACAACAATTGAAAATCAAAAACGTCAATATGAAGTAAGTTTATGCGTTTGCTTCTTTGCCCTAGTCTTGTTTCTTCATTAGTTAGTTGTAGAATTGCATACAGCAATCGGCTCTTAGATAGACACACGTGTATTGTGTGTGTGTGTGTGTGTGTGAGGGTTAGTGATACTACCCTACCTAGCTGTCCAAGCCTCGGTAGGTGATGGAACTGGGTTTCGGACCTGTGACTCATTCATTGGCTGTAAATACAACGCCTCCTAGACCAATCAAGTTGTATCTCCTTTCATTTACTGTGATTTGAAGCTTATGGGTGTGAGAGAAGTCTTTCTCTCTCTCCCTCTCTTTGCCTTCTTCTGAATAATCCCAATATTAAATGACTGACTAGTGAATAGAGAACATTCTTTTCGATAACTTCCTTCCTCATCCATTTGTATAGTTTTATGCATTCATAATGATTAAAGAATTGTTGTTAGATGTGATGGAGAAGATTTGTAACTCAGGTGAATGATTTTTTTGTGGCTGTGTTGTCTGAGCTAGCTGGATGGTTTATTTGCGAAGCTTTCATCACCCTACTAGGCGACATCTTCAGCGCATACTTCAATTTGAATTGAAGTGAGCTTTTAGATTTCTCCACGAGTTTATTAATCATCTCTCCTGATGACCACCTTGGACATGATTGGTTGTTTTCGTGTGTTGTCAAACCATCTAGGCTATATGTATTTGAACTGGTTGTTTCTTTGACTTGAACTTTGATCCTTTGTGTGTGAGGTTTCTTTCTTATCGGTGTGTCTATTGATGGACGATTCACTGGATTACCAGGCTTCTAAAAATTCTCTAGCCTTCTTTGTGTTTCCTCTGTCTAATATTTGAACGTTAATTGTCCCAGTCGAATTGATGTCCGTGGTTGTCTGTATGTAGTGGGGCGATATGAGGGAGTTGATGTCATGTCTTCTGACGGGTACCTTATGTTCGTGGATACGAAGATGAAGAGGACGTCCACTTTAGCCAATGTAGTGTTTTTCGCAGTTGTTACAATTTATTTTGTAGATGATGTTGGTTTTATCTTATTTCGCTGTTGAGTCTTTTGGTTGACATAGAACTGACTGAAGTGATTTCTCTGGCTTTCGAGTGACGACGTCAATTTAAATAACATTGGATCATTAATATCAACAGTGATAATACATGCCCATATAACACTAAACTGAATATCAGGTAAATCGAGAATAATAATAACAATAATAGAGAATTTATGAATTTATGGATTCCGCCGCAAACTTGAAGCTAGACCTAAATTGGACACTAGTAACTCGTGTGATGTGTCTAGTCCTTTCTTTGGAGTGAAGACTGAATTCTATCAGTCAGGTTTGCAATTTGACCACCATTCTAGGTAGTACGCCATCACAGTGTACTTTGAATTGTTGGTACTAGATAGTGGGAGGTGATTGGCAGGAAGCCTTGCTTGACCTAGGTTTCGTGCTAGTTGGCACTCACCAGTCAGTCAGTAAGGTGTATCTTCGAGCGTGAAGGAACTCATGTCCCTCCTTCTGAGATTCTAGCCTTCGTCACCCAGTGGTGCAGTTAGAGACGTTACCACTGTGTCAGCTATTCTGGCTCGCGATTGACCTCCTGTAGGAGTGTATTGGATATATTTTTGATTGGACACTAGTAACTAGTGTGGTGTGTCTAGTCCTAGCCTCCAATCATCCAATATCATCAAAATCAATGTGCACCGTGATGGCGAGCTACCTAGAATGGTGGTCAAATTGCAAACCTGACTGATAGAATTCAGTGTGCATCAAAGGAAGGACTAGACACATCACACGAGTTACTAGTGTCCAATCGAAGTATCCACTACAGGTTGATCGCGAAACCGAATAGCTGGCTCAATGGTAACGTCTCTGACTGCACTTCTGGGTGACGCGGGCTCGCGATATGAGTTCTTTCGTGGTTGCAGATACTCCTTGCTGACTGATTGGTGAGGGCCAGCTGGCACGAAACTTGGATCAATCAGGGCGTCCTACCGATTGCCTCCAACCATATAATATAATCTTTCTTTAATATGCACAGTACTGATCGTTTTAAGCAAATTGGAATGACTTTTGCTGTTTAGAGTGTGTCGGGTATTTGAAGGCCTTTAGCAATTTATTGGGACATTTGATAGATGATAGCAAAATACATTTTTCAGTGCTAACTTTGCTGCGGTCTGTTTGGATGAGATAACCTAATATAGAACTGTTGGTGGCTTTAACTACACCCCATTATTAGCTACACCGGTGTTGGTGTTCCTTAGCACAAAATGTGCCTAGAACAGCAGTTAACATAACTAGCACCAAAAGAGCAGTTGAACTGACAGATACAATTGAGAGATGGCGGTTAGTCTGAATACTTTCTCTTTCAGTTGAGGAATCACAATTGGTCGTGTGAAAAAAGTGTGAGTTGGAGTTTATCTGCATTGAAAGTTCTTCGAGTTGATGTTCTTAATTTGTTGATTACTGTTTAGCTTGTCATATCACTTTCGAATTGTAGCCATCGATATATATATATATATATATATATATATTTCGAAGAGGCCTTAGACAACGTTGACCAAGATGTAATTTGAAAACGTCTTCAATACTACAGAGTACCTCAAATCTTTATCAACCTCATTCAACAGCTAAACGACAACACCACGTGTCAAGTGATCCACAACAAGAAACTCAGAGAGGCTTTCGAAGTGAATACAGGCGTAGACCAGGGCTGCTCATCTATTATCACCGATGATATTCTTAATTGTGGTGAACTGGATTATGCATCAGGCTGTGCCTCGGGAGAGAGTAGATAGGAATATGCTGCACTGACCGATAAAATGACTCCAGAAGATATGAATTTCGCATGTGGATGATTTATGTTTGATGGTACACAAACTCGAAGACTTGTAGGCAAAAACCAACAAACTGGCTGAAGGAGCATTGCAACAAAGACAGGACTTCAGGTGGACATAGACAAGATGGAAGTGATGAAGATAACCAACGAACCGCGAAAACAACAACAACAACCAGAACCAATGACCACCAATCAATTGAAGAGATTTAACAGAGGTTACTTCCTTCAGTTATCCAACGAGGAAGCATAGTGTCAATCACAGCCCGTCGGAATGAAGGAAGATGTTAAAGCCAGATAGTCAGCCAGAATCGGAAAGGTAAGATACGCCTTCATCAACCTCAAACCAGTTTGAAAATCTTCTACTGTCACTCACTCACTCACTCACTCACTCACTCACTCACTCACTCACTCACTCACTCACTCACTCACTCACTCACTCACTCACTCACTCACTCACTCACTCACTCACTCACTCACTCACTCACTCACTCACTCACTCAGTCAGTCAGCATAAACAACAGGAATCGAATTTTCAACACAAATGTGAAGTCAGTAAGTCGGTCAGTCAATTCTTCGATACGGATCAGAAATTTGCACTGAGTATCAGTTACGAAAAGGGTTTCTAACAGCTAGTGGAATACTTTCATCAACAGCTGCCTCCTGAACTGGCTCCCTCCTGAAAATCAAATGACCAGCCAGAAAGAATAAGTAACAAGAAACTCTGGCTGGGAACAAACCAACAGCCAAGAGCCGATCGCTCAACAAATATGTAGGAGAAAATGAAGATGGATCGAGCATACGATGTGGAGACAGTCGAATGACATCACGCGAAATGCAGGCTACTGTTCGAGTGGAATCCGAATGGGAAGCGGCGAGTGGATGGTCGGTGCGAGGATGACATGGAGGAGATCGTGTGTTGGGAGGATTAGATGAGAGATTGTCGGCAACCATGATCCAATCTGAAAAGGACGGCAGAAGATAGGACAGAGTGAAGATGTGTTGTTGAAGCCAGCCCTATGTTCCACTCGGAACCAAAGAGAATAAAAATAGTAATAATAAAACATACACAAATGTGGAGGATAAAAGCAGTAAAGGGACTAAAATGAACAGAGATGTTCAGGGAAAAGAATTAGGCCATAGAGACTAATGATAACTTAATGAATATAGAAGTTCATAAAGAGTGAATCCATCCATCGTGGTCAGTGAGAACGATTTTAAGTCATATCTACAAGTCCCAAGCCATTGACTCATAGAGTTATGAGTACCACAGGTGGGCACCTGACACCTCCCTCTACGACTGAAATAACCAGTCAAACACTTTATGGATTGACGCTACGTCTTGATTTGATCACCGTTAACTCCTTTCCAACTCAGCCGTTTGCAAGCTAACATTGCTTGAAGAGGAAGATTACGGCTTAGCATGTGTTATACGTGTCCTAGCCATCTGTATAAATGCAACTGCACAACCTTATTGATTAGCGTTCTCTCCTTAGGTAACACTTTATGCCTCACCTCATTATTTCTGACCATATTTAACTACTTAACATGAGAAATAGAACTCAAACACCTTTGATTAAAGACAACTAACCTCCTTCACTTTAAACAGCCATATCTCACAACCGTAAAGCAAGACAAAGTGGACTGCTTCTCTCATTCTTTGTCTTCCGAGTGGAGCAGAAGGCGTCAGGCTTTTGTGTTTTACTAGAAATGTTGTCTGTTTTTACAGGGTGGGGTTGCTAGCATCACAACCACCAGCCTTCACTTTTTCCCCGGACTTACTACCCCAAAGCCAGGCGAAGTTTAGACGTGCATCATCTGAGCGTCAGACCTGGGTCTTCCGTGTCGTGTCTGGTCAGCATTTTGTTATTGAACCACTGACACATTTATATAGCGAACTTTAACCAAATTATAAATACCGTCCATATATATAACTAAATATTTCACTGACGTTTTCACTAATCATTATTTGCTTGGCGAAACAACTGTTCAGTATGAAATCAAACACTTCGTTTTATTTGAAGTTTGTGTCAGTGTCTGTAAGTATGGTATGTACTTTGCGCCGTCTAAGTGCAAATACTGTTACAAGATTGGCAGGAACCTGTACCTGCACTCACTCTTGCGGGTGAACCGCTTGAAGTTGTTGATAAGTTTGTGTATCTGGGTAGTTGTGTGAGTGGTGGCGGAGGGGTGTTGGATGAGATTTTCAACCGTATAATGGAGGCTAGGGGGGCATACATCAACTTGAGCCACCTATGGCGCCGTCGCGACGTTAGCCTGGCTGTCAAAGGTCGGGTATACAATGCTCTACGCCTGTGAAACCTGGCCTCTCCGAGTAGGCTGAGGATGTGCGGCGACTCTGCGTGTTCGATCATCGCTGTCTCTACAGGATTGCTTTCGTTCGATGGCATCATCGCGTGAGTAATTCTGAGGTTCGGTGGCGTGTGTTTGAACACAGTGGAGATCACCATTCATTGAGTGTCGTCATCTGGAAACACCGGCTCCGGTGGCTTGGACTTGTGCTGCGAATGTCATCCGAGAGGCTTCCGTACAGGTCTTCGTTTGTCAGCCAGCCCTGGGACGGGATGGAAAAGGCGGAGGGGTGGTCAGTCCATGACGTGGCGTCGTGGGATGAAGGAGTTTTGGGCTAGATTAGCACCGGTTGGTGCGTCACGACTCCCTGGTTGGGGTCCACGAGATAGCTCAAATCGATGGCTCAAAACGTTATCGGATATGGCCAAGAATCGTAATTAATGGCGAACGTATTGCGATTTCCTTCTTTCTTCCCTTCCCGATGATAGTTAACGAATACTGTTTGAACTCGTTAAGCATGACTGTTTTCCTTCCAGATGAAGTTTTTTATCCGTTCTCTACTTATATATTTTTTTAACTTTTGATCTATGTTGTTTTATTATTATTGTGTGGCGCATCTTTCTTGGTGCCATATTGTACCAAGTTTTTTCTGTGTTTAAATAAGTAAATAAATAAAATTTGAAGTTCCATCACAGGCTGACATGAGCTAGAGAACCACTGGGAATCAGGAGTCCTGGACACCCCTATTTCGTCCCAGTTCAGGGCTCTTTATCGGCGCACACCTATGGTGTTCCACCCGGGGATCAAACGCAGGACTTTCAGGTTACACTTCGTATATGGTATATTAAAACAATTATTTTTCTGTCTTTTATTACACAGGCTGCTCGTATTGAACGCGGTGAGGCTCGAGCTGAAGCTGCACGTCGACGAGCTTTAGATTCAGCTGCTGATTATAACCATCGTCTGATAACGGAACGTTTGAATTCCCGACGATGTTATTGGATTTACAAACAATGCAAATTCATATTCCACAAAGAAAGTATAAATTATTGGATTATACAAATTTTCCCACTGGTTCTGGTGGTGGTTCTTATCCTGTAGCTGTTATACCTGGTCAATTTGCTGAATATTATATGAATTATACACCGGAACAATTGTCCTACCTTCCACTTTCACGTGTCCTATATCCACATCCATTGCAAAAGCATAAAAATCCACCTCCACTGCCGACAACACTTAGATTCGGATCAATTAAACCAAAAGTAGTAGTCAGTACGCCTACACCTGTTGTTGGAGATGTTGGAGATCAGTATTCAACGAGTGTAGATAATTCCAGATTAATGGATCCTTCAAATCATTATCATTATAATAATGGTGATAATAATAATAATCATATCATGAATTCAACAGATGGTGTTTACCGAAGTGTGCATCATACTGATGGAACATTTTCGGCTACAGACAATGGGAATACTAAGTAAGTAAGACAGAGAGAGAGAGAGAGAGGAGACAGTGTCTTTTTTGTTTTACCAATTTTTCACGGGTTCGAATCTCAGAAGGGACATGAGTTCCTTCAAGGTTGCAGATACGCCTTGCTGACGAGTGCCAACTAGCACGAAACCTAGATCCAAGGCTTCCTGTGGCCGGTTGCCTCCAACCATCTAATACCATCAAATCAATGTGCACCGTGATGGCGAGCTGGCTAGAATGGTGGTCACATTACAACCTAACTGATAGAATTCAGTCTACAACAATCAGAGGACTAGACGCATCACACTAGTTACTAGTGTCAAATCAAAAACTGTAAAAGTGTGTTAAAAGTACTTTGTTACTCACGGAACGTGTAATGTTAACTTGTAACAACAGAAGACAAGGGCCAGTCAACAGATCGTTTATTAAAGAAATCAACACGTATTTATAGATTTTCATGTACGCTGTTATAGATTATTGTTAACAGACAAACACAGTCTTCTGATTGGTGGTTTCTGTCTAAACGTTAATCTATCATCTCTTTGTGGCTGTTTCTTGAATGTCAGATCATCTATATGTTAACTGTATCCGCCTACGCAAAGTCTTTGTTCTTATTTTTCTCACGACTAATATTTAGGATGTAAACATTGACGTAAATTAATGTCTATCAATTTGGTTAGCAGCTAGCTCTCCCCACAACCTGAAGTATAGCTATATGTTGCCAGACAGCAAAATAAGATAACAGTCCATTATTATTATTCCCTTGAATTCCAGTTGGTCCATGGTGAGCTTCAGCAGCACACTCCTCTACAATTCTCTCTAACTACCCACCTCTACGATTGCTCACCAACTCTCATATCCGCTACATACACTGGCTGGCTGGTTGCCTGGTTTCAACATAGAACTTTGCATCGATGTGCACCAGTTCAAGTCGCCACACTCCCTTCTTGTAGCACACAATGCAAGAGTTGAAAGTAAAAAGAAATGCAAAATAGAGGCAGAAAACAGAGATATAAGGCAAAAGGAATAGTAATGTTGAAGAACTATATAGTTTAATTGGGTGTTATAAGTCACAAGGAGTGGATGCATCTGCGCCAGCCATTGGTAACGAGGATTTTGAGCCATGTCACCGATTGTCTCCGGCTGTCACTGGTTTTTACCGTCCCAAGGACTCCAACCAGTCAGGAATTCTACACCTTCCTACGTGGCTGGCTGGCTTAAACTAACTGTTGTGGATTTCATTGACTGATGCCGCCACATACACACTCACTCTCCTGCATGTCGCATTCAGACGCGCCTGCTCAACTCGCATTGTCTCATTCGGGTTCCACTCGAGCACTGGCTTGGCATCATGTGGTGTTATTCAACGGTCTCCTCAGAGTATGTTCAGTCCATTTTCTTCTGCATAATTGTTGGGTGATAGGTTCTTGTTTGGTTCGTTACTAAAGTTCCTTGTTGCTTATTCACAATTAGGCTGGTCATCTGATCTTCCGGATATGGAGTGAAGACAGCTATTGATAAACGTCCGCAGATGGCTGTTGGAAATGGTTCTGGTGAGACACCAAATCTCTGTAGCATATAGAAGCACTGATTTTACATTGGTGTTAGAAATACGAATATTTTTCCCTATGCTTAGTACACTGGATTTCCATGGTTATCTCAGATTAATGGGAGTCTGTCCTGCTTCCCCTGTGCGCCGGTTATCTGGCCTTGACAACTTCATCCGTACCACCTACATGTAGTCGAAACGATTAGTAGCTGATGTGTGTTGTTGGTTCTTGAGTGTGCTCACTTGAAGTTTGGACATTGCTGCTTCTTCTACCAACTTGTTGGTTTTCACCTGCAGATTTTCGAGTTTGTGTGACATTGGACAACACAAGTCGTCCGTGATGTGTAAATCTTCCAGAGTCTTCTTGTTGGTTCGAAGTATACCCACCCATCTTCTCGCCTTCTCCAGAATCTGCTGCATGATCCAGTCTACCACACTGAAGATCGTCGATGATAGGAAGAAGCCTTGCCTTACCTTCCGGTCTTTCACTTCATAAGCTTCGCTGAACTCTCCGTTGTGAATCACATGGCATGTAGTATCCTCTTAATATGAAAGGATTTTAGATAGACACTCTAGTCTTTCTATTCAGAATACTCCCATATAACCAAACGTATATAACCTCAGGTGTTGATTTGTGTCTTTGCCCGCCGAATCAGTGGTTTGGCGGGGGTGGTGGGTTCACCGAGGAGATTCTGCAAGATCCTAAAGGAATTAGTAATGGATAAACTGTGGTTATTGCAATTCCTAACGTTTTTCTTCTATTTCGTAGTAAATTCGACTACAAGTTAGGCACTTGGCTCGGTGATTCCTTACGATAATCATCTGTTTCATTTTGGGGCTCTCAGGAACAGCGGTTAGGACCATGCGCATGGTCCGTGGTTCGATCCCCTACCGACGCACACCCGATATCAATGGTCGGCCTGCAAAATTTGGGCTACCGATATCATATGCTGAAATTTCCATGCTTGTACCAAAAATACGGTGTGGAATCAAGCTATAATCAAAAAAAAAATATTTCAGCCCATTTTTTTTACAAAAGAGTCCGAGTATCTTGGTGCCCATTATTGTTCACTACATTTCAGAATAGATAAAAAACACAACGTCAGATTTTATTTTGCTCTTGCACATTTGTCATGCTGATTCACACTTTTTTATATGCTTTGCGTTTTCTCTCTCTCTCTCTCTGTCTCCCCCTGTTCTATTCTCAGTTCAAATACATTTTCTACGGAATCCGATGTGGATAAGGCGAATAGTTCAATTTATCGACGATTTAAAACAAATGCTGGCGATATGAATACAGAGAATCCGTGTTGTGTTGTTTGTGGACAGTTGGCTTTAAATTATATACGTTGTTCTGAGTGTAAACTAATTGGACATCCGAAATGTTTAGATATCCCTGATTCTATGATACCAGGTGTGAAAAGGTAAGTGGTGGTGGAGAGGTGGAGAAGAATTTTGTCTTTTTGTGCATTGCTATTTTATTTGCATTCTCAGGCTGTGGTTTTATTCTATCGCTGTGGTATTTGTTGATTTGAAAGCGGTACGGTACTCGGCTCTGTTGACGACGGAGAGGTGCTATGGCAGTGTGAAAAGAGTGTCGAGTGCTCAGTGTTGTCATTTCTGTGTAATTTCATCATAGATGTGCTAGAAAAATTGACTGTAATTGACTTCAGAGGCTAAAGGGATTGACATAGAGGGTGATATGATTACCCTTGTAGAGATGAAGACAATGATAAAGTGTACTCTTTTGAACACCTTGGACAAGAATCTCTAAATGATGGAATGACTCCAGAGGTATTTAAGTACGGTGGAGACAGTCTACTTTCTGCTTTAACTGAGGTACTAGGCAGCGTCTGGGAACCTGAGGAAGTTCAGTCAGGTTGGTGTAAGTCACTGATTATCCCCATATACAAGAAGGGAGACAAGTCTTCCTGTGATAATCACAGAGGGATTAGCTTGACTAATATAGTATCTAAAGTCCTAGGCTCAATAGTATTGTGTGGACTAAGTGGTGCTCGGGAAGCACAAACACGAGAGAGCCAGGCAGGCTTTAAATCCAGGAAGAGGGTGTATTGATCATATCTTCACCCTCCGACAGATTCTAGAACATAGGCATTCCTACCGGCGTCCAACAATCACTATATTTCTTGACCTAAAGACGGCATTCGACTCTGTCGACCGAGAGGTTCTCTCGAGATGGTTGGTTGTAAAGGGAATACCAGGAAATTATATTGCACTGATTAAGGCACTCTACTCGTACTCATACAGCCAGGTGAGGGCTTACGGCGAGCTTTCATCTGAACTGGTGACGACTAGTGGTGTCCGTCAAGGATGCCCATTATCCCAATTTCTATTCAACTTCATCATAGATGTGTTAATGGACTTAACCCTAAGTGACTTCAGCGACTCAGGGATTGACTTGCTACCACCAGGGAATGATCTCACTGATTTAGAATATGCAGATGATATAGTCCTTGTAGGTGAAGATGAAATGCAGAGTCTTCTGAACACCTTGAGCTGCAATCTACGAATGTTTGACATGTGATTCGTTCCCGTCACTCGAATGTAAGATGATGTTACAGGCCTGGACTACACTGACTCTTAGATTAGAAATAGGGAGTGAAGTGGTAGACCACGTTGACCGCTTCACTTACTCACCATCAGTCAGTGCCAACAGGTTGATCTCTTACGAAATCTCGGTATGGATACAGAGGAATAGTTAGCATATGCCATGTTTACGCCGTCTCTGGCATAGACGTGATATCCGGTTGGCTATCGATCAAAGGGCGTGTGAACTGCCTATCAGTCTGCTCCGTCCTCCTTTATGGCTATCTGTGAAACTTGGCCACTGAGAGTGGAAGACATAAAAAGATTAGCCACTGGAATGAGCTCCACTGACTCCTAGCTTAAAGATAGGATGTGAACTGGTTGGTGGAGCATGTTGAACCATTTCACGTATTTGGGAACTTGCATCGGCTCTAATGCATTGACTGATTGATTGGTAACAAATTCTTAATACGGATACAAAAGTCTCATGTATGGGATTTACCAGTTTACGTTATATGCGTCATAAAGGCAATATTCAGCGCTGCAGTTCACTTCATCCTCCTTTTGGGCTGTCTGTGAGACATGACGATTAAAAGTGGGAGATACGAAAAGATTAGGTGTCTTCGACCACATGTATTTTCGCATTCTGTCTCCCGTGTTGAGTGGTTGTATGGTTTTGTGAATTAATATTTAGGTTAGGCGAAGAAGAGTGTTAGATAAGGAGAGGGAAGTCCATCGGTTGGATGAGATGGTTAGGCCACGTTACGTGTTGCGCATTCTGAGCCATCGAATTACTTGACGGGCGATTTTATTCGACATGTGTTTGGGTTAGAACGGATTTGGGGGTGATCAAACTAAAACATGGCGTCACTTCATACAATCCTTGACATATAATTAATTAATTTATGACTGACTGGGTTCCAGCACATAAATTGTGCACAGAAGTACACCAATTCAAGTTGACACACTCCACATAACGCTCAAAAGCGGAAAAAGACAGAAAGCAAAAATGCAAAATACGAAGACATTGCGAAATGGTCGCGCTATGTCGTGAATTGGCAGAAGTTAGAATTCGTGGACTGGGTGTGGGATCGGCTCCCAGTGGCTCAGTGGTCTACGAGCTCGCTAGCCTTGTAACCTGAAGGTCCTGGGTTCGAACCGGTGTGGTGGGTGCGTACCGATGAAGAGTTACAAACTAGGCTGACGAAACAGCTGTCCAGTACTCCCAGGTTTTCCAATGGTTCTCTAACTGATGTCAGCTCATGATGAAATCCTGTAACCAATCAAATCCCTAAACACCAACACTTAAATACAAAATTTCTATAATGAGCAGAAATGTACGGGAAAAAGGGTAGTAACATTGAAAACATAAGGATCAGAGGATCTGGGAGAATACAAAGAGTGGAATGCATCTGTGCCACTGACTAAGATTTCGAGCCATGGAATCAATAATCTCTAACTACTGGTTTTTAGCATCCTGTGGACCGCAACTAGGTGGTAGTCTACACTTCCTCAGCGTGATTGGCTCAAACCAAATATCGAAGACTTCATTAATTGATACCGGTCTTGATTTGACCACCCTTAACGGTTAGCTAACATTGCTTGTCCAGAAGATGATGGTAACTCGGCAGGCACCGTACGTGTGCTACCAGTTTTAATTGAGGCAGCTTCACAACCTACCTCATCGATCGAATTCCCTTCCTCACCTAACACTCTACACCTAACCTCAGTATTACTCACCATTTTGCACCATATAACATGGGAGACAGAATATAAACATTATTCGAAGTCAATTGGTGGATGGTGACCAACAGTGGAATACAGGACAACGCTCATTTCGTCTTGTTTGGGACTCGTCAACTGGGTGTACCTGCATTCCCCGGTGAGGAGTGATGGTGTTCCAACCGATGCTCGAACCCAGTGCTCATAGTTTCAAACACCAGAACGTTATCCACCGATAGACCAATCGGGCCATGAGAGCCACCTCTTGTGCAACAGGTTTCATTAATCGTCGTTTAATTCAATTTTCAGTTTTTTACCGGCGATTGAACACCATCACTCACTGGGGAATGTGCAGGTACATCCAGTTGACGAGTTTGTCCGAAATAGGACGAAATGCTCATTGTCCTGGATTCCATTGCTAGTCACCAAATACCATTTGACCTCAAGTGACATGGCCAGATATCATCGAAGCATCTGCACAAGGAGTCGACATGTCAACCGTGGGACCGAGCACTTCGGGCCAACAAATAAACTGGAAAATCTAAAAAAAAATCCTAGTTGCCTAAATTGAAATCGATAAAGTGGAGTTTGAACCTTAGGGGGACCCAATGATAAATGACAGCAGAGGTCAATGAGTCATCAGTGTATGGTGCAGACTGAGATGAAGTAGCCGCCCAACGCCTCTAAGTTAATATTTATTGCCTGACTCACTGACGATCATTTGGAGACGAAAACTACTTTGGTGGAAATAATTCATTTTCCACAAGATTTCTAAGATGAATGGATTGGGAACAGAGAAGTACCTTTTTAGTACTTAAGTACTTAAGCAAAAGGAAACATATACTGTAATTTTGAAGAGTGATTCAGCGGGGTCCAGGTTTTGACCCCTCTGGTCTACACATTCTTTAATCTTGTCTAGCTCCCGATAAAGAGGGGGACGTACACGCGATATCCGGCTGGCTATCGACCAAAGGGCGTGTGCACTGGTCATCAGTCCGCTCCGTCCTTCTTCATGGCTATCAATGAGACATGGTCATTGAAGGGGGAAGACATGAAAATATTAGCTGTCTTCGATCATAGGTGCCTGCGTTCTATCTCCCGTGTGAAGTGGTATAATAAGGTGATCAATATTGAGGTTAGGCATTAATCGAGTTCTAGGTAAGGAGGGGAAATCAATCGACGAGGCTGTGAAGTTACATAGACTGAGATGGTTAGGACATGTGTTACTCATGCATGCCTAGTCATCGCCTTCCTCGATGGGCCATGTTAGCTGACTGACATAGGGCCAGACTGGAAAAGAGCTAGTGGCGGTCAAACCAAAACATGGCTTCACCAGTCAATGAAATCCACAACAGTTAGAGCTACGTAGGAGGGTGGAGATTTCCTGACTTTGGCGTCCTCGGGGTGGTAAAAACCAATGGTTGGAAACAATCGGTGATATGGCGCAGATGCATCCACTTCTTGTGACTTATGATTTCAAATGAAGCTATACTGTTCTTCGTTATTACTATTCCTTTGTCTCACACCTTTGTTTACTGTCTCTATTATGCATTTCTTCTACTTTTTTCTCTTGGTTTGTGTGGTACATGGAGGGAGTATAGTGACTTGAACTGCCACACAACGGTGCAGTGTTAATAATATTAATAATAATTATAATAATAACAGCTTTATTCCAAACAGTGTTTGTGGTACAGGTATGGAATTTTCAGCGTGCATTACAGTATATTGCATCTAATTACCTCATAAATTTTATAAGATTTTAAAATCAAAAAGCAACAACCAAAAGAAAATAGATAAATAAAAAGAAATAAAAACAACAGCTTTGCGTTGACATTTTAAACAATGCACTACGGGGTATGAAATATAAAATGAGTGTGTAGTAGATGTTAACAACAATATAATAGTAACGAAGAAAGGAAAACAAAAACCAATGGGAACTATTTGTTAGAGTGCCGCAGTAAGTTGATCGTGTCATACATAACGGATTTCTCATCACACAACAGCTGTACCAGATATCGTACTGTGGAGTTTTTGTACTTGGTAGTCCTAGCATATAGCCTCCTATAGCTGCTTCTAGTTCTACCAGATGAAATGCAAGGAGAGAGCTGTGTATAGAGAGGATGCTCAGGGTCTGACAATATTGTATTCGCTAGTTTCTTACATGACATTATATGTCTATCCACAATAGTGTTAACCAGTTGGTTTAACGAAAATAGATAGACAGACAGACAGATAAAGAGGGAGGGGGGTGAGCGTGCGACTAACAATCCCATCTTGTTCAAAGGAAAATACAACGGCTGCTGAAACTCCAAAGCTCAAGTTCGTAGTCCTATGCTCCACTGGGAACGTAAAGGAATGGTCAGAAGACATTATTTCCATTCATACTAGATGGAGCATAATTTCTTCAGTGAGCTAGTGTGATCACTTCTTTTGAAACGTTTCTTCCTTTGTCATTGAGCCTTACTATTTTAGTTGACATTCCATATTCTTAATGAATGTATTGTTTTTTTGCTTGCTTTCTAGTTATGCTTGGACCTGCTTGGAATGCAAACGTTGTGTCGAGTGTAATGATTCTGGTCAAGAGGATCAAATGATGTTCTGTGATCGTTGTGATCGTGGCTATCATGCATTTTGTGTTGGTCTAGGTCGAATCCCAAATGGAAAATGGGAATGTCTACTGTGTGAAGCATTACCAACACCAGCAAAGAAAGGTCGACCTAGGAAATATGCTCCTAAAGATATGGATGATTTACCCTGGGGATATAATGTAAGAAAACCGTGTAAACCAAAAGTGAAGACTATCACGAATTTTTCTCGACCAAAACCAGTGTATGATATGAAAGATACGCCTGTAAGACTGCTTGCACCTGCTTCACATAACATTCTTCCCTCACCAGCAGCTGGAGGAGTAGGGGGAGGAGGTAATAATAGTGGTAATATAGAAGTCCCTAAACGTCGTAGAGGTCGACCACCGAAGAAAAATCGTATCATACCAACTTTTCAAACTCCAATTTCACCGTATATTCCAAATCCGAGTAGTTTTACTCCAACAGCTTCAGAGGTATCAGCCTCTTTGTCAACTGCTCCATCGATACCACCACCTGGAAATGAGTCGCATACCAACACCTATCCTGCTACTACTACTACTACTTCTACTGCTACGGTTAGTAGTACTATCGCTCCTGAAAATGAAATACCGTGTAATGATAAAATTTCCAATTCTCAGAGAAAACAGAAGAATCCACTTCAGATTCTACTCCCGTTCAAATCACTGAACGGGATAAAGTTACTGTAAAACAGGATTCTGAAATATCCACCTCTGATGCAACAAGTTTAAACGATCCGAATAATGTTGAAAAATGATCTATTGACTTGTTTGTTGGTTTGTTTGTATGCGTGTGTGTGTGTGTGTGTGTATCTGCACGCCTTAATGTGTGTATGTATAACAACTGTGAAAATCCTTTGTTATGTAATATGTTCTCTTTTTTTTGTTTTTTTGCTGTTTCAGTTGTTCTTGTAAAATAATTGTAGATAAAAAACAACAGGGATTTCTTTTCTTCGCTCATTTCATTCTTGATATGTGTTCATAATATTTTTTTTTATTGTAAATGAAAGTATTTGTTCCTTACTTTTGCGACTTGGTTTTATTTTTGTCTTGATTTTTGTTCAATCGGTCTGAGATTGGTGCATTTACGGCTGGGCCTGGTGTCTTTTTTTCTTGTAAGAAAATGTCCATGTTTTCCACCTTTTCTGGTTAATTTCACCATTAATTATTATTATTATTCTCTTTGGTTCCGAGTGGAACATAGGGCTGGCTTCAACAACACATCTTCACTTTGTCCTATCTTCTGCCGTCATCTTCAGATTGGATCATGGTTGTCCACAATCTCTCATCTAATCCTCCCCACAAGGTCTCATCTGTGTCACCGTTGCACCAACCACCCACTCGTCGCTTTCCATTCGGATTCCACTCGAACAGTAGCCTGCATTTCGCGCGATGTCATTCGACTGTCTCCACATCGTATGCTCGATCCATCTTCATTTTATCCTACATATTTCTTGAGCATTTGGCTCTTGGCTGTTGGTTTGTCCCCACAGTTTCTTGTTACTTATTCTTTCTGGCTGGCCATTTGATTTTCAGTAGGGAGGCAGGTCAGGTGTCAGCTATTGATGAAAATCTGCCACTAGCTGTTAGAAACCCTTTTCGTGACTGATACTCAGTGCAAATTTCTGATCCGTATCGAAGAATTGACTGACCGACTTACTGACTTCACATTTGTGTTGAAAATTCGAATCTTGTTGTTTATGCTGACTGAGTGAGTGACATCAGAAGATTTCCAAACTGGTTTGAGGTTGATGAAGGCGTATCTTACCTTTCCGATTCTGGCTGACTATCTGGCTTTAACATCTTCCTCCATTCCGACGGGCTGTGATTGACACTATGCTTCCTCGTTGGATAACTGAAGGAAGTAACCTCTGTTAAATCTCTTCAATTGATTGGTGGTCATTGGTTCTGGTTGTTGTTGTTTTCGCGGTTCGTTGGTTATCTTAATCACCTCCGTCCGTCTTTTCTATGTCCACCTGAAGTCCTGCCTTTGTTGCAATGCCCCTTCAGCCAGTTTGTTGGTTTTTGTCTACAAGTCTTCGAGTTTGTGTACCATCAAACATAAATCTTCCACATCTTCTGGAGTCTTTTTATCGGTCAGTGCAGCGTATTCCTATCTACTCTCTCCCAAGGCACAGTCTGGCGCATAATCCAATCCACCACAATTGAGAATAGCATCAATGATAATAGATACACAGTCTTGTCTTACTCCTGTGTTCATTTGGAACGCCTCTCTGAGTTTCTTGTTGTGGATCACTTGACACGTGCTGTTGTCATTTAGCTGTTGAATGAGGTTGACAAAGACTTGAGGCACACTGTAGTGTTGAAGTAGTTCTCAGATTACCTCACCATAGGTGTATTAATGTAATAGACCCCCAACTAACTTATCGCTATGGGGATTGATTCGTCAGCGCAGAGTATACGGATGTTATTATTATCTTTCTAGTTGAAGATTCTGATCAAAATTCAGTCTTCTGCACACATTTTAGGCAGAAATTTCCGAATATTTGGTATGCTGCAGGACCGATCTCTAGCTTAAAGATAGGGAGTGAAGTAGTGAATCGTGTTTAATGCCTCTCATATGTGTGGGAAGTTGCATCAGGCCTAATGCACTGGTGGCGATTGATTATTGGCGAAATCTCAGTACAGTTACACAGGGTTCATGTGGGATTTGTCAATTAACATCATATCTGGGATAGACGTGATATCTGGCTACCGATCATAGAATGTGTGTACTGCGCAACAGTTCATTCTATCTTCCTTTATTTCTGTAGAATACGGTTGTTGAGAGTGGAAGATATGTAGAAAGTCTAACTGACTTTGACCACAGATATTTTCTATCTATCTTGTGTGTTAAGTGGTAAAATATGGTGAGTAACATTCAGGTTAGGCGTAAAGTGTGGAAGAGTATGGAGGGTAAGTCAACCGATGAAGTTCTGAAGGTGAGTCGAGTGAAAGGAGTAGGCCACACGTATGATGAGCTACCGTATTCATTGATAGGCAGCAGTGCTAGCTAACACAGGTTTGGGTTAAGGAAGAGTTAGAGGTGATCATATGAAAACTTGACATTAATCCATGAAATCGTTGACTGTTAGTTTTAGTCACTTAGGTGTGTGTAGGCTGCCTAGTTGAAGAAGACCTTAGAATGCTAAGCATCACTGGCTGGAAAGCAATGTTGGGTGATATTGTGGTGGTGTGCCAACGGAGTATTATTCTCACATATTCCTACAGTTCAATTTGGCATTAGCAACAGAATACAATATACAATTGGTGGATGGCGGCTAGGAGTGGAATCCAGGATGCGCATTTCGTCCTAATTGGGACTCGTCAGCTGGATCTACCTGCATTTCTCAGTGAGTGATGGTGTTCCCACCGAGGCTCGAACCCAGTGCGCATAGTTTCAAACGCCAAAGCGTTATCCACTAGACCACTTGGGCCACGACAGCCACCTTTTGTGCAACGGGTCATATTAATTATTGAATTGAATTTTTGATTTTCCCGTCGATTGATTGGACCGAAGTGCTCGGTCTCAGGTTGACATGTCGGCTTCTTGTGCAGACGCTTATACGATGTCTGGGGATTTGATTTGTATACAATTGGTGGATGGTGGCTAGCAGTGGAATCCAGGATGTACATCCAGCTGACGAGTCCCAATAAGGACGAAATGCGCATCCTGGATTCCACTGCTAGCCGTCTCCCACCAAGTGTATACAAATCAAATCTCCAGACATCGTCGAAGCATCTGCACAAGAAGCCGACATGTCAACCTGAGACCGAGCACTTCGGTCCAATCAATCAACGGGAAAATCAAAAAATTCAATTCAAGAATACAATATATTTATTTGAACATTCTATTTGATGTTAGAGACAGAATACATTTCCCACGGTTATATGCTGAATTAACAACAGAGTACTATGTATATTTGAACATTGTATTTCATATGGTTTGATGTAGACGGAAATCACACACTCAGTGATTGGTTAAAGTATATAAACTATATGTATAATCAGTCAATGCATTAGAGCTGATGCAAGTTCCCAAATAAGTAAAGTGGTTCAACATGCTCCACCAACTAGTTCACACCCTATCTTTAAGCTAGGGATTCAGTGCCGCTCAGTCCTGCAGAATCGTCTTACATTGGTCAGGAGGAGAGAATCACATACCAAATATTTAAAGATTCCTGCCTAAGGTGTTCAAAAGACTATACTTTATCAGTGTCTTCGCCTAGAAAAGTAATAATATCATCCTTATAACCTAAGGAAACGAGACTGTACTCTGGTAACAAGTTGATCCCTAAGCCTCTGAAGTCAACGACAGTCTATTTTTCTAGTACATCTATGATGTAATTACACAGAAATGGGAATACATGGAACTCGACACTCTCTTCACAACCTGACACTGTCATAGCACCTCTCCATCATCAACAGAGCCGAGTAGCGTACCGCTTTCAAATCAACAAATACCACAGCGATAGAATAAAACCATATCCTAAGAACACAAATAAAATAGTGATCCACAAAAGGACAAAATTCTTCTCCACCTCTCCACCACCACTTACCTTTTCACACCTGGTATCATAGAATCAGGGATTGTTATAGCTGTGGGGAATTGAATGAAGACGTTTTCACCTTATTCTGTCTGCGCCTGAACTAATCTGTCTATCTGCTCGTCGTACCTTCCGACTTAGTAAAGCACGCAAATATCAAAAGACAAAGGCTGGACTGTGACTGTGTATTGAAGTGCAACAACGATAAAGAAAGCCATGGTATTTATACATTTTACAACAATATGGACAGCTAACAGCATTTGAAATAATTTATCTTAATAGCCAATAACAAAGTGCGTGAGAGATGATAATATACCATATGTGCGAGGTTGACAGTCAGTAACAAAATGTGTGGGAATGATAATATACCATATATACAAGATTAGCAGTCACTACCAAAATGTGTGAGAATGATAATATACCATATATACAAAATTAGCAGTCACTACCAAAGTGCGTGAGAATGATAATATACCATATATACAAAATTAGCAGTCACTACCAAAATGTGTGAGAATGACAACATACCATATATGCAAGTTTAAACAGTCAATACCAAAATATGTGGGATCCTATCAGGGATATCTAAACATTTTGGATGTCGAATTAGTTTACACTCAGAACAACGTATATAGTTCAAAGCTAATTGTCCACAAACAACACAACATGGATTCTCTGTATTCATATCGCCAATGTGCGTCGGTGGCACAGTGGTTAGGACTCCCGCCGACCATGCATATGGTCCGGGGTTCGAGCCCTCGCCGATGCATACCTGATATTCATGGTCGGCCTGCGAATTCTGTACTACCGATATCCACGCTGAAAATTCCATACATGTACCAAAAATACGGTGTGGAATCAAGCTGTAATCAAAAATAAAAAAATAAAAATCTGAGGTTTTGCTTTTATCTAATCAGAAATGTAGTGTACAATAATGGTCACCAAGATACTCGGACTCTTTTGTATTTCGTGAAAAAAAGGGCTTAAATATTTCCAGAACGCCTAATATCTCTATGACAGACTGAATACTAATCTGGTATTTAAGACTGTTTGATATTATTGATTGGATAGTGGTCATTATTGCGGACTAGGCGCCTTATTTTTCTTTGGCTTGCCTCACTAACTGTTGTGTGTGTGTGTGTG